TCTGGTCGAACCTGCACCTTTCTGGTCTGCACCGAGCAGCGCTTCCCAAGCGGGATGGCTCTCACCTGAGATCACTCTTCTGTGGAGGAAGAGGACAACCTTAGCTGTCTTCACACCCCTCATAGGAGGGGATGAAGCACACACTGGAGCTGCATTAATCCTGCCTTCACTTACAGTTGGACCATAGTCCAACATGTGTTACCAGGCCAGTCCCAAATCTGCACATCCGCTGGAGGGAGAACCACCGTGTTAGCTCAGCAGTGTTATGAGGACCCACCTCAGAAGCATGGTGTGACTTTTCCTGCCCAGAATGGGCTTTGCTGGGAGAACCCATCCTGCCAGCCCCATGGTGGGGATGAAAGGAGGGAGCAGTGGGAAACCCACACATCCCACGCGCACCTCGAGGGCAGCTCGCCACCTCCTCTGCTCATAGGCGCTGGCCATGGAGGAGCGCTTATCTCCATCACACACGGCTGCTTTTTGGGCAAGTGGGACTACTCTCACTGCCCAGCCCCAGGGCAGCCCAGCCACCAAAATGGGGTGCTTTGTGGTGTCCTGAGATGTGTTTATAGTGTGGCTAATTTTAGCACCTCCCATTTGCAAGGAGGGCTCCACCCGGCCCCGCGCTGAAACCACCTCTGGGCTGGAAAACAGCAGCTGTGAGACAACATCTGGCATTGCTCGGACAGGCAGAGGCAGGAAGCGAAGGAAAACAGTGTCTGTCCGAGGCTGCCGAGGGACTCCAGCTAGACAGAGCAGAATTTGGCCTAGACACTGGAAAGAGTAACTCTAATCTTAAAAAAAGTTATTAAAAAAAAAAAAAAAAAAAAAAAGATGAGGCATTGTAAGATGCTGGTTGCCATTTGTCATCCTTCAGCCTGCTGTTAACTCCCACCTCACCTCTCCCTGCCGTGACACGGAGATGTTGATTCCCCTTGTACTACCATCTCCACAGCTGGAGCCCTCAGGACCCCAGTGCACGGGCCAGGAGGCTGCGGGGGAGTACGGGACAAGGTCCAGCCACCTCCTAACCCCATCCTGAAAGGGGACAATCCTTTACTTCCCAACCTTATTTAAAAATCAACACCTGGCTCTCAGAGGAACTCAAGGTTCCCTCACTCAGATCCCAGCGGCCCCAGAGATGCCCTCCCCGCCCCACAGTACACACCAGGGGAGTGGAAGAAGGTTTGAGCACAGCATATCGTCCTCTCCAGCCCCACAAAAAGTGATTGCTGTCCTGCCTTCCCTCCCAGAGACCTTGTTTTGGCAAGACCTAGCTTCTGGATCGCCTTGGGTGCACACCACATATGCTAACTGCCTGCTGGTAGGAGCCACAGGTGCTCCAGGATAACAAAAGGATCTGGGGTTTCCCCACTCCCTTTTTTACTGCTGAATTTTGCCACTTCTTGTGATTTTATCCCATTTGCTGAACAAGCAGAAACACCCAGAATAACCCACTTGAGCCACATTTGGCCGAAAAGCATAAAAAGGTGACAAAATAAGAAGTGTATTGGGCAGCTGAGGGGCAGAAAAAGATCTGTCAGGGAATCTGTGAGGGGAAAGAAGGGGAGCCCCAAATCCAGGCTGCAGAGATCCAGCCAAACCGCTGGGATCTCACTGCAGCAGCAGAAGTGGGAAGGGATGAGCAGGAAAGCCCCTGCAAGCAAACCCCCAGGCACGGAGACACCCGGGGGCCTTCCACAAACAGGGTGATGGGGGCAAAGGCTGGCGGGTGCCCAATGCACTGCGGTGCTTTAGGAGTCAGAGCTGTGTTTTAAGAGCAATAGGAATACTTCTGCAGATGAACTTTTGGACTACAGCAGTCCAAGACACTCAAGTCCCTTTGAAAAGCTTTGCCCCAAAGCCTCAAGTGTATGGAGTTTACAAATTAAAGTGCAGGTGGGGACTATTTGGGGATAACAGGACCATTTTGTTAATTAATTGCCAGCAAGAGAACCCAGGGAGCACTGTTGAGCACTGCTCTGCTGCCAGGGTGCCCAGCTCTGGCCACAGGCTCCAAATTTCTCCTCTTCCTCCCCAGAGTTGTGCTTGTGCAACTGTGGACGAGGGCTGAGCAGCCTCCTGGACAGACAGCAGCAGCCAAAAACCTATTTGGCACATTTATTGATCATTTTCCTCCAGTCACAGAGCTGTATAAATACACAGCTTTTCTTCATCTTACTGAAATTTTAAGCATCTTCCCCTTTCCCACCATCACGGAACAGAGTGAGAGGGCAGGACTGTGGGCCAGCCTCTGCCTCAGACAAAGCAACAACCTTCCCAAGATTTCAGGGCCAGCTCCAGCCTTCTGTTAAGCTGGAAAAGTTGCACTTCCACGTCTCACAGCTCTCCAAGCCCCCTGCACTTGCAGCCTCCCAGTCCCACCACACCATCCCATCTTATCCAACCTTGCTGCAGGAGAGGGGGGGGAACATTCAGGCAAGGTAGATTTTTCCAGTGGATCAGAAAGTCCTCATGTGAGTTTAGGGTCAACTTTGGGCAGGGATTTTTTTTGTAAATACCTAGAGCAGCTGAGCAGAGCTTCATCTGCTTTGCAAGTCCCAGTCATTTCTCAGCAAAGACCAGCTTCTCCTTCCCTACCATAATCAAGAAGAAAACCCTCCACAGAAATAGCCAGGATGTCTCTCTGGGATGGATGGGGAGTCTGGCAGACAACCACAGGTGTTAGCAACACCACTCTGAATTATTCCTGGAAGCAGCACAGGGTGCTGCGGAGAAATCCAAGAGGGTGAAGGGTGCCCTTGGCTTCACCTGACAGCCCCAGACCCTTCCAGCACACCACAAAGGGCAAGCTTGAAGCCATGCCAAAGTTTGGGGAAAAGATGTACTCCAGGCACCAGTGTTGCTCGAGGCTGGAGAGGCTCTGTGCTGGGCATGGACAGAGGAGCAGTGCTAGCAGACTTTCAGTTCCTGGCTTTCTAGGACAGCCCATCCAGGTGGGTGTAAGCAGCAACCACTGGTCAGAGAGCTGGCCCTAGAAGGGACCAGCTATGCCACCGAGAAGGGAGGTTTCCACGGGCACGGTGCAATTTGGGACCAGCATCTCTCCTTCAGCATCACCTCAGCTGCTGGGGTTCAGGCTCCCCAAGCAGGCAGAAAGCCATCCTTGGGAAAGGATGGAGGGCTTGCCCCAGTGCAAGTCTCTTTCAGAAATCCCAGGACTGTTGGGTTCTCATCGGAAGGAAACCTCAATCGAGGAGCCTCATGTCCAGCCCCTGAGTCCACATGTTTGTTATTAAGACTTTCCAGCTGAAAATTAATCCAACGCCTGTTACAATCCAAGTTAAGAGAGGCTGGATCTACTCCTCCTGATCCCAAAGAGAGGTTGTGATGAAGAGAAGCAGTGTCGCTCCTTGTCAGCAAGTGGTAAGCAGGAGACATGACTCTCCTAGAGAGATGAAGCCCAATTGGATTAGATACCTACTCCCATGGGGAGGAAATACTATATGGGTGTAATGTATGGTCAGATGCTCAGGAGATACCTGCAGAAGCCACACACTGCTTCTGTCATAGATTTTATTGGTCCTGCTGGGAAATCCAGGCCAAACTGGGAGTCAGAGCTCCATGGGGAGGTAACTCCTGATGCATTGGTGACTGGCAGCCATCAGGTGAGAAGCCACAGCACAGCAGTGCCAGGTGGGGAGATAGAGATCTGCCCCCAGGGAGCTCAGACGAACCAGCTGCAGGTCTGGATGGACAACTGAGGCTTATTTCAACTCTATCCAAACCACTCCAGTCTCCAGATCAACTTGGAAGCTATGGTATTTGCAAGTCTACTTTTGGCAACCAAGAAATAATAAGAGGCTGATATTGTTATTATTTCAGCTTCAGAAGGGTGAATAATCAGCTTTGAGAGGAACATAAGCTTGGGTGACTGCTGAGGGCTTTACAGAGGTACCCGTCTCCCCTTAACAGGGTCTCTCTGTGGGCTGGGCTGACAAAATGGCACTGCCCCTTGCCCTCTGCGTGGTTAACAACCCTCAGGCACGCTGCCCGTGGGTGGGCAAAAGCCAGATCAGAAGGCAAACAGGGGGCCAACCCAGACACACTCCAGATTCCCAACATTTGGCTCAAATCTGAATGAATGACTCAGAGACCAAGATGGGAATTTGCAAAAGCCCACCAGTCCCAGATCCCCAGCACTTCATCCCCTGCAAAAACAGTTCTCAGCAGAGACCTGCTCACTGCAGCACAACTCCCCAGCTCCAACCCAGCTTGGTGTCTTCCCCCGACAAAAATTCTTTCTTAGCACCCGCCCCACCCCTACTTGAATAGCCTGAACTAATTAGCCCTCATTAGCCTCTGAGTTCCTTCTGATCAACTCCCTTGCTTTGCAGTGGAGCTTCTTCCCTGCTGAGCCCATCTCCTTTTGCTCCCTGCACAGGTGGTGGTACTCAACCCTTTCCCTCCTCCCGTCCCTCCCTACTGGTCACCCACCTCCAGCACCCACCTAGGGATACCCAGCCTTTCCTCCCCTCCTTTCCCTGTAGGAAGACCCCCCTGCACCCCTCCTGCCCCACTTTCATCCCCACTTTCATCCCCACATTGGTGTCTCGCCAGCCTGGTAGGGTGTAGGGAGTCAGGGGCAAAGCCATGGGTTTGTCTTGCCTCTTCCCAAAACCCATCTCTTTAAGGATAAATCTTTGTGAGTGCTTCCTGCCTTACTCAGCTGCAGCTGCCTGTGTTGACAGAAGGATGCTGTGATTCAGGCAGGGTCTGGACACGGTGGCTGTCTCTGCCTGGCTCACTGGCCGGCTTGCACAGCGTGTGCTGCAAAGGGGTCCCCTTCTCTGCTGGGGTCTCTCTGCGGTCCCCCAACAGGTTCCACAGCATCCCCAGGATAAGCCTGCTGGGCAGGCAGCCCCGAGCCCTGATCTGCTGGCCCCAGTCCCCCCGTCCCCCCACCCCAGGCTCCGGCATGTTCCCAGCCCCAGCCAACGCTGTAGGACACCTCAGGGCAGCAACACGTGACACATATATGGCAGCTTACAGAAAGGATCGGGGAGTCTTTTCCCCCTTTTATTGAAAATGATCATTTCTATTCTAGTGCAAACACTGTACATTTTACATCATAAAGCAAGAGATAATTTACAGGATACACTTGATCTGGGAATCCCTCCCATGGCTTCACGCATCAAGCTCCACCAGCCTCACCAATCATCCATCCCTGTCATGCTCAAAAATCCCACTTAATTGGCCACCTACATCTGCGTCAAGAAAAGGGGAGGCCTGAGAAAAAACACGTTCATACAGAGCGGGTGAGAGGAATGTGCCTCAAGACCATTTTCTCCCCTGAATGGTACCTAAACTTAGTGATAACTGGGTAACCATGGCAACTTCCTAGTGCTGTGACTGAAAGTCTGCTAAAACCCTGGAGAATTCCGTGCTTTCAGGATAAGGCCCTTATTTTGCACATATATTTACATGGTTCAATAAAATACAGATTAAACATACATGTTCATAAAATTTCGCTTTGGTTTGATAGAAAACTAGACATCGTTGGCTGAGGTCATCAGCAATTAAGAAACAAACAACAAAACCCATCCATTCATCCAGCTGGACTCTGTTTAGCAAATCCATGGAAACAAAGCAATATTGTCTCGGATGCTCTGGTTTACATCTTGATGTCTCCCAGCTCAAAGGTGACATGAAGGCCTCATCTGGACTGACAACAGCCCAGTCAGCTGTGATGGCATCCCCAACCAAGCAGCCCAAGCCAAGGCAAGACCCAACTAAAACTGGAAGTGCAAAAGCTTACACAACCTTCCCACAGGAGCAGGCCCATGCAAATCAATTCAATTCCTCATGCAAATGAAGTGAGGAGGGTGGACAAGGCTTTGCAGAGGCATTTACGTAAGCCCCTCCATGTAAACATCACGGCGTGGGGGTATTGATGGCTACCATGGTCCACAGGTGGATAACAGTGTACCAGGAGCTTTATGCTCTCTGAACTGCCTCCTAGCTAACTTCAGAAACGGGTGCCTGTACACAGACACCAAAGCAAGCTGCTCAGGGTGATTTTTCTACTGCAGAAATGGTGAGCACAGACTAAGGGAAAGCCACAGGCCACCAAGATGCTGAAGGGAACAGCTGAAACCTCCAGGGTGGACACTCGGGCAGCCTCAGGCCACCTCAGGGCAGTTTTCTCAGGCTGCTGTCGCTGGTGGGTCACGGAGGAGGGCAGCAAGGCAAGGAGCAGGGAGAGCACCAGGCAAAGGCACTCAACAACCCATTCAGCCTCTGAGTAATGTTACATTGCACTGGGTCCTTCTTCTTTCTGATCGTGCAGGACATGTTCTTTGATAGTTTCACTTGTTGGTGTAGGCACAGGAACCAAGAGTGAGTTTCTAAGTGAAGGCTGAGATTTCCAACGTGATCACTTGGCTCTAGGAGCTGGAACCATACTACTCACGATAGAAATATTTTTGTTTAGAGATGTTAGCTTCTCCAGACTACAGAAGGCCAAAAAAAAAGGGATCAGACAGAACACTATGGATTTCTTAAAATGCAGTGATTGTCCATCCTCACTTCCCCTGCTGGTGTTCTGTCTACAAGTATAATCTGCAACATTTAAGCTTTTTGTCCTGATCACAATTAGATTCTTTTTTTTTCCCTTTTTTTTTTTTTTTTTTTCTCAAAAATACCCATACAGGGAGAAAAAAAAAAAAAATCCAGCAGCAACACACACGATCACGAGCACAACTGACACCAGTTTGAACCTGGGGCTTTTGCCCCACAGTTAATTCAAATACTTTGGCTGGATTTCCATTCATCCTCTGCCAGTTTAACTTTCACCTTCCCTTCAAAGAGATTTATTTCTCGTTTCCTGCAACATGCTGTTTTAGACTATCAAAGCCCACTGTTGGGCATCTACATATGCCCGGCATGTCTCCAGCAAACACCAAGTTGGAGACCTAAGCCACACTACCAGAAGTCTCCCTCACAACTGAGCTTCTTTCTCCTTCCCTTATGGTCCAGCCTGGACCATGGAGCAGCTCTGCGCCCTTCAGTTGGACTATTCCATGGCAAAGTCCCACTCAGTTTGGGCAGGTCTCCTGCACAAGCACTGTTTGCCATAAATAAGCTCCCTCCTCCCCCCAGATTTGAACAAGGCAGGCATCACCAGCAACATGAAAGATCCTAATTTCCTCAGGACGCTTGCATGGAAGAAATGCCTTTTGGGTTGCATCTCCTCTGCTCTTCATGGAGAGAAGGAAATTAGGTCCTAGTTAGCTCTCCAGAGGAGGGAGAACAGCAGGTAGGGAGAGCAAAGGAGAGTGGCTAAGGCTATAGGGCAAGCCTCACTGGGCAGTGCTATGAGAACTGGGGGAGAAATGGTCTTCACGCGGGATATTCCCTGCTGAGATGTTACCTGCCCTCAGAGGGGCTGGCAGAGACTTTCCAAGGGGATGTCCTCGCCTGTTCCCAAGAGCCACAGGAACCTATCCTGCCGGAGAGGAGATCCTCGTCTAACTCAGTCAAGTTGTAAATGCCCATGGGGAAAATCTGCAAAGGAGCATGGCTCCCTCCAGCTCCACTTCTTTGGGATTTCTCACAGGAAGACGGGAGCTGCCCATTTCAAGCTCTGCCTGGGGCTACCAGGAAGGGCCCTGACAAGGGTGAGAGAGGCTGCGGCTGGAATTTCAATGCACGGCTCCAGGAACCTGGATGCAGCACAAACATCCCAAACATTTTCAATGGATTTTATTTTGTTTAATAAAAAACACCAACCAAGCTTGCATGTATATCTTATATATATAAATATATACAGTATATATAAAACAAATGCATCTGGACAACGCCTTTCCCTGTGGCGCAAACTGTAAGGCATAGAAAGGAGTGTCCTAACAGTCCTATTCCTGGCACTACAGAGCGATCCCCCCACTACACCCCCCCCCCCCCTCACACACCCACATTGGCTTTTATCTCTTCTTTGGCTTTTCGAGGCAGCAGTGCCGGGAATACTCGAGGAAGCAGTGAAGTGCTGCGAAGCCCAAGGAGGTCTTCCTCACGTCTCAGACTGGTGCAGGCAACCCGGGCAGGATGACCCCATCCCGTTGCATTTAAGGGGCTTCTCACAGACTGACGGTAACGGCGCCTGCCTCTGTGGCACGAGGGACTGGAGGGACAAAGGGTCAGGTGGATACAACAGAAAGCGGCGACCAAACAACTTCTTCTTCTAGGGTGAGCTGGGGCAGGGGGGGAGAGGAGCAAGCTTTGCATCTCAGCATGCTGGTGGGTGGGACACGTCCATGGGCTGAGATCGGCAGAGGTTTCTTTTTTGCAGTCCCATACAAAAATGGAAACCAACAAGGGTGAGACTGTCCTTTACTGACGAAGCTCGTAGTATATTGAGCAGAAGCAATAAACCTGACAATAACAAAAAAAAAAAAAAATGGTGGCATTATCCCAAAAGGAAGAAGGAACCTTGTCACTCACGAGCGGTTCAGTTTGCTCCCAGTTTGGTCCCCATGCTCAGTTCTGGGTTGGGGTTGGCTTTTTTTCTTCTTTTTTTTCTTTTTTTTTTTTTTTGTGATTTTTTTTGGTCTTTTTTTGTTTTGGTGGGTTTTTTTGTTTTTTTTTTTTTTTTTTTTTTTTCTTTTCTTTTTTTAATTCTTTCAGCACAAACAAGTTGCGAAGCAGGACGGGTGCTGTTGCATTTTCTCCTCTGCAAGGCAGCTGCCTCCAGTCATTAATTGACTGTGGGCACTTGATTCCTCTGTAAACTATATTCCTTTGCCTTCAGTCTCAGGTTGGCAATACTGTTGGCCATATTCATGCCCTGTGCCGGGCTGGCATTGGTACACGTGGTGGAGTAGGTGGCCATGGCGCTGTGGGATGGAAAGAGAAAAACAACATGTCAGACATGGTCTTCACACCACGCAGAGAGCAGACACGTGCCGCAGCAGCGAGTTTGAACCCTGGGGTTTCCATACCTGCGGGATGTATTTCTTAGGTAAGCAGGGAATTATCACTACTTTTTATTTAAAGTATGTAAGTTTTATTACAGCCTTGTAAATCTTTCTGCTGCAGTTCACCTACCCAGGGACAGCCAATGCCAAAGCTGGTTGAAGGCAATACGAAAATTTCCATTTCCTATTTTCTAACTCAAAAGGTTTGCTATGAGGTCAGGCTGCCCAGCCTGCCAGTTAGACCATTGTCCTTTAAAGTATTCCCACTGGAAGCAATGTCTCTTTGATGAGAGCAATTTCTGGTTTTATTGCTTGTGAAATCACGTCACTTCTGAAACACATGTTACATTAAAGAAACACTGGGAAAAATCCATTTCAACAACTGCAATGCTATTTGGTTTCAGCCTTTTGGAATGAAAATTTCCACATTTTTTCCCCTCAAAACTTCATCTGATCATAAAGAGCATGCCTTAGAGGCTGAAGGAAAAAAAAACAAAACAACATCTTTTCTTCCTTCTCCCTCCTCAAATCATGACTTTATTCACGAAAAACATTACTTTTAACAGTGGAGGCTGAACAAAGATCTCCGAGTCCTTTCTTACCCTACCAAAAATTTGAAAATCTGCTTTCCAGACTACTAGAAAACTTGTTTAACTCGTGTGTCATGTGTCCCATGTTTCTGTCAAAAGCAACCCCTCCACCCTCAAAACCAGCAAACTGCCTGACCTGTTGCATTTCCTATATGTGGGCCCACAGATCAAAACCAGTTGAAAAATACCAATTGAACTAGAAATGCTCATTTAACACAGCCAGTGTGTTCAGGAAGAAACCGCAAATGCTCTCCGGGAGGCAAGTTCAGGTCTGGTGCTGACCCTTTCCATCTGCCTGCCCGGGTGGCTCACATCTGAGGCTCTGGGAAATGCTCTCTTCCATCCCCAGCCCAAGAAAGAAGATAGCTTGTTGGTTTGGTTTTTTTTGTTTTTTTTTTTTTTTTTTTTTTTTTTTTTTTTGTTTTTGTTTTTTTTTTTTTTTTCCTTTTTTCTTTTCCTTTTTCTCTCTTTTAAAAAAAATTTCTTCCGGTGCTGACCTCCACAACTGGAAGAGCCTTTATAACAGCAAATCTTCTGTGAGGGAAGTCGGGATTTGCTGTGCAAACAGATCCAGGCCGTGGGCATGCATGCTCACCCCAAAGCACTGGTGGTATTTCTGACCTCGTAGGGCAGTGTGACCTGCCAGGAGTTTAAATGCAATCCAGTGCTGTCAGAATCCTCAGCCTCCAGGAGATCCAGACCAAGTAATACTAGTATGTCCCATCCCAGGCCAAATGACTCCTATTTCTTGCTTGAAAATCAGGGAAAAAACTTCTTCAGGGAGGAACTGTCATCTTTGCATCAGGACCGGTGGAAACACCACAGCTTACACACACACTGAGGACAGGTAAGACCTGTAGATATAAAGCTGCTTACACTCATCCAGGGAAGAGCATGGAAAACTCTCCCCAGGAGTTCAGGACAATTTGAGAGTCTCTAACAGCTACTGGAAGGACACGGAGGATGGACAATAAAATACACACATCAAAATACAAGCTTGACTCTGCCTAACTCGGGGTGCACCGGCTGCATTTCGCCAGGGTCCAGGACGCGATGGATCAGCATGCCTGGAACCTTCCCACCCGGCTGCACACCCCCTCATTTCTCTCTCCATGGCTGGGCTGGTGACTTTACCAGGTCAGCAGCAATGTGAGAAGCTGACTGCTGCCTGCAGAGGCGTTGCAAACTTTCACAAGATGAATAGCTGGTGGCTACTTATGCACCTATTCCCACCCGCTTCCACAGGGTACATCTCCCCCGTGTTTTTGTGCTGGAAGAAATTAGAAGGGTCTCAAGGACAGTCTAGATTAGACAAAATAAGAATTTTCAGTCTAAAGTGTAAACTGTCCCCATTCAAAAGCCAACTGCTACCCAAATCTGGTCCAAAACTTCAAGGAGCCTCCTGCTCTCAGCTCCCCACAGGTCTAGGGAAGATTACTGTCGTCCAGTGAAATCTCTGCTAAACCAAAAATCTCCAGAAACTCTCTCTTTTAGCAAGTTATTCCACAAGAAGCATCATGCAGGAAGGCTGTCTCCAAACATCAGTACAGCTTGAGGGTTGCTCCAGAGACCCTCCAAGGTCTAATAAGGGTTGAAGTCACCCTGCTGCCCTCACCCTCCATTCCATTCATGCACAGAAAGTCTCCTTCCTCTACTCAGCTGCCTGCTTTCATGAAACACAGAGGAACATCGTGTTTCTGAGGCCTCAAATCCTCCCTTCAGATATGGTTTTCAATGGCCTGTGGAGCCAAAGGTTGTTGGAGTGGGAAGTGCAGGCTGACAGTGCAATTGCTAGTCTTGTTTTCTTAGGAACCTATGCTAAAAAATGTCTAAGCAAAACATTTCAACTTCAAAAAAATAGTGCTATCTACTTGGCTATCTACGTGACACAGATCTGCAAATAGCATTGGTTGACCTGTGGCTGAATGTATTTGGAGAATAAACACACTGATTGAAAACTTTCCCCAGATCTGAGAGTAAAAACAGCACCATCCATGCAGCTCCCAGCCCTCTCCTGGGCTAGCTGTTAATCAGGGGCTGGTACGGCAGTGCCGGAGAGATGGGGAGGGGGCAGAGGGCCATGCAAACACTCTGCACGGCTCTTTTTCACAAAGTGTCCAATACTTTAATAACCCTACTCAGTTCAAAGCTTTAATGAGGCTGTGACAACCTGGCCCAGGTGGCCACTAAGATGAATGAGATTGATAAGAGGTTAGAAAGCCTGGGGAACATAAAGTGTCTGAGGGTCCTGACTGCCCCACATTGTGGAAACCGGCTGCTCTGCTCCTCTGCCAATGCCTCCTACCCCTCTGCAGGGCAGTGGGAGGGTGACAGTCCATGCTGGTTTGGTGTGTCAGGCAGCAGGGATGGCTGTAGGCAATGTCCTTGCTGAAACATCTTGGCTTAAGACAAGGGGAAGATATCAAGACAGTGAGGATGCGACTTCACACTGTGGAGAGGCACAGCCAGGTCTGGACCTCAGGGGGCAGAAAAAACATCCCTAAGGCTTTCCCCTCTCCCTTGCTCTCCTCGTTTGCACATCCCAGATGCCCTGGGCTTCTTGTTGCCCAGAGTGGCCCCAGACAGCCCTTCCCAGTGTGTCCCTGGGTGTTACCTTTGCAGGGTCTTCTCCTAGAAGCCGTTATGAAGCCCTTCGTGTAAACAACATCTTGGGAGGGATGATCTATTTTTAAAAGTGTGAGAAGTAGAAATAAGCCACGAGTAGGGATCTGGTACTGTAAGCAGAGCAGTCTCAGCGGGGTGGGGAAGGACCCGTGCATCTCTCCCCTGAACTCACCACCCAGACTCCTCCCTGAGATGCTACACCAAGGAGCACTTCATAGAGAGAAAGCCTTAACCCCAAAAGGGGAATTTTGCTAAACAGCAGTCCTCAGGTAAAATCCAAAGGATAAGGGCCATCTCTAAGAGCAAACTGGCAGTGGGTGAACCTATGACTTGCTCTTCTGGAGCCGCAGGGTGGATGAGGAGGACCCCATGGCACTGAAGCAACAATCAGGAAGGCCATGCGGTTACAGACGTAACTGTGCAAACAACGCTTGGGTGCAAGAAGGGGGTCAAGGCGACTGAGAAAGAGAGGGCCTGGGCATGGTGTGGCTCCTGGAAGCCAGTGGGAAGGTAGCTGTGACCAAGACAGATGAACAGGAAGAAATCCATTCAGAGGCTCTAAGGTCCAGACCAACAATGAAGCCAGTGTGTTAAAAAATACCGACCAACCTCATTTTTAACTGCCTACAAGCCAGATGGCTCCCCACAAACCAACACATCCTGTGGATCCTGCGTCCACACCCAGTTCCTGCGGGGCCATGGATGGCATGGAAGAGGACAGGGAGGCCCGTGACATGCATGGACATCCCAGATCCTTTGAGCAGACTGGGGTTGCCACATCTGCAATTCTTTCCTGCCACCCCTTTTATCAGCACAGGCCACAGGAGATGGACACTGAACACCAGTCTGCCACCCAGAGACACCTGGTCCTTACTGCGGGCACAGCACAACGTCACAGCTTGTTCATACGCACACTTGTGTTCTAGCAACTAGAAAGAAATTGCTCTCCAGTTCAGTGCTGACCGCTGAAGGGAGGATTGGGTGCAACAAGCATGGAGTGAGTTCCCAGCCTTTCCCTGCATCCCAACCAGTGACCGCCGTGGGACAGCCACAGAACTCCCTCTTCTGGCCACTGTGCGGTGGCTGAACCTCCCCAAGTGCTCCACCATCACCTCCCCCGTGTCTGTGTCCCACAGAAAAGTTTCTTCCTTACTTTAAACTGGATGCACTAAGGAAGCAAGTGCAACCCCTTCTGTTCCCGTGTATTTCTACCTGATCCTCTTTTGAAACTTCCCTAACTGCAGAGAGAGGTCACCAAAAAAACAGAAGCCGCAACCTCCCGTGCAGCTGGCTGCCAGAAAGCCACGATGATGCTGACCCAAGCCCACCTTGCAAGCCTGACAGTGAAATGGGGTGGGATGGGAACAGGTAAGGAAAACCGGTCGGGTGGTCAAACTGCTGTATCCTCCAGTTGTCCCATGCGAATATAAACAGCCCATCAGAGCTGCCTGAAGTCCACTCTCAGGCTGCTCTACACTACGCCAGAAACTGGTCAGCCCCAGAGGGGTTAGTCACTCACCTGTAAGGCGAGGCGGTACCCCAGGAGAGATAGTCGGTGGGTCTCGGAGCTGGGCGAGGTACTATGGGCTGCTCCACGGCGGTCACGTCCCCTGAGTAGGATTTGAGCAGAGAGGCATTCTTGCTGGCCAGCATCGCCCTCTCGTTCCGGCGAAACTTGGCTCTCCGGTTCTGGAACCACACCTGGGGTGGGAAGCACACAGACCCACCAACCATCACAACCAGCTCTGCTGCGACGCTCACCTTTCATCACATCACTTCTGTCCTGCTGGGCAAGACAGGACTCTGCAAAAGCAGGCTGCCTTGGCATGCCTGTCACTGGAAACTCTAAGGACGAGACAATCCTTATGCCTGCCTCAATAAGGCCCTCGTGTGAGGAACTGACTCAGTGAGGTTCCCGTGGGACCAGGTCTGTCCTGTGCAGTAGGCAGCAAGGCCTGGGAGTACTGTACAACACATCATGTTCCATGGTCTGCTCTGACCTTCAGAAGGTGCAGGCTTGCAATCTAAGAGCTGAGCAGCTCCAGATAATGTGAACAGTCTGAGCACATAACATCCAACATCTTGGCCTTGAACAAACCATATGAACGCATCTGAGTGGGCAGGTGGTAAGTATTGTGGCAGATCAGGCCTGGCAGTCCTCCTCAAGGCATGGCACGTTTGGGACTGCAACACAGCATGACCCAGAAGCTTGGTGACCCCACTGTGCCATGCAGACCTTGAGAATTTCTGCTGCTGTACTGGAATGGCCTGGTGACACCCCCCAGTTGAGGTGTGTCTGGATACAAGCTGTGGTGATTACCTGAACTCTGGCTTCAGTGAGGTTGACTCTGCGTGCAAGGTCTTCCCGTACAAAGGCATCGGGGTAGTGTGTCCTCTCAAAGACCCTTTCTAACGCCTGGAGCTGGCTGCTGTTGAAGGTAGTCCTGTTCCTTCTCTGCTTTCTTTTCTTCTTCTCTTCTGAGTTCAGCTGATCATCTAGGAGAGACAATTGGGGATGTGAAAGGCTAGAAAGCTAAGAGCCCACAGCAATGGGGTGAAAAACCTCAAAGGTTTCAAGATAGAAAGGACTTAGGAAGGGGCTTGTGCAACTTCAACACCACACCTTAACCATGTGGTGTTAGTCCCCATGTAAAAAGGAGGTGGAAAGTGCATTGACCCCAAGCATTTATTTCCCAGCTCAATTACATAAGACATACCAGCTCTCTCAAGCTATCCCATGCCTCAGTTTCGTTATCTCTAAAAAGAAACAAAAATGTCCCAAATCCATCTCTCCATTCCTGACAATCCTAGAAACCTTTTCTGACCACACAGAATCATGAACCCCTGTTCTCTCGGCTTCAAATTTCCAAGGACTGCCCTTACTGGGACATAATACAACCCTTTGGGGTGCGCACGAGTCCTGCGCCAGCTCTTATTGACTGTGAGAAGGTGTGCTCACCTCTGAGTAAGGGAAGCACAAGGAAATGGCTATTACTCTGGGCTTGACTACAGCCAAGGTAATGCCATTCTCTGTGTGTAGCTCCATTTGGCTCAAATGAGGACTGCACTCTCTTATCCTCCCCACATCCAGACCGAGAGGTGTCAATTTGGGCAGAGATGGGGAGCTGCAAACAGAGAGGTGTCAGACAGTGGAAACGAAGCGTGACTGATACGGGCCTGAACAAGAGACAAGCACAAAAGCCAGTTTCACTTGTATGCTTGCAAGCCAAGGACATGGAAATACAGTCAGACAGACATGGATAGCATTGCAATTGGAAAGCAAAAACCCAGTCAGGGAGAGACTGAGCATAAGCACATTGGACACTGTTGACCGAAGAAGAGTTGTGCACTCTCCAGCACCCGCCTTGCCTTGCCCAGGCCAGCAAGGTGGTGAACAACAAACAACGTGTCCAGTAAGAGCACATATTGTTTTGTGCCTGGTTTGTATTTACTCCAGCAATAAATCGGTACATCCATACATCTGGAGTCACACTTATCAATACTGCCTGTGCCTACGGTCACTGGAGCAACATCAGTGCCGAGATAACTATGAATATCTGCTCTGTACCACCTCTCCTTTTTCCAGTGCTGTTGCACGTGCTGATGTAGCAGCAGTCATGGAGCTATCAATGCACAGGCAGCCACGGGCACGGGCAAGCAATGAGCAACAGCTCCAGGGGTTTGAATGCTCTTTATTAGAACAAGCTGGAAGCTATGACACTGGTTTTGCTTCTACCTGTACCGAAGTACGTTCACTCATCACACCAGTCACAGCACAGCAAACACTTCAGTGACGGTGGGAAGCCACACCAAAGGAAGTGGAGAGCAAGGCCACAGCTGGCAGGAGCATGAGGCTACTGCTGTCTCCCCAGAACTGCCCCGTTCAGGCTGCAGGGACTGGTATGTCCTCGCCTTGCACTTGTCTCTCTTCAAGTGCTCCAGTACGTGTGGGGTCCCACCAATATCATCAAGGCTTTTTTGTGCTTCTACAGCCCCAGACTTCAACGTTCCCAAGCACACCGGGCAGAGCCCCAGGTGGGCAATGTCAGCGTGGTCCCACTGTCTTAAGCGGAAGAACAGTAGTTACACTTGGGAGGATCTGAGCCAGTACACATTGACAGCATGCATCAAAATATATTGATTATTGCAACGCATGTGCTAGCGAATTATCTTTCACGTTCAGTTAATCACTGCGCACCTCGGCCCAGACGACAGTCTCACCACTGACAGTCCAAGGGCTTGACATGCTATATACAGTTGCAGAATATCCCCTCAATGGTCATTCCTCTTGACATATAAAAGTATGACAGCTCCCCACATCCTCCTGTTCTCGAGGGGGTATGTAAGGCACAGGGAGAGGCTGACAAGGAAATCAAAGTCTATGGTGGTTGTCCTCACCACCTGCTTGTGTTGCTTTTCACAGCCCATCTGGTAACAGTTACTACGCCTGAACACCTTTGGAGCGAGGCCCATCCATTTGGGACCAAAAGGACATTGCTCTCAAATTATTAGATTTTTATTCAAAAATTCAAATTCCTGCAGGTTTACAGCTCCTCTGTCCCCAATCCTTCTCCAACAGCCTGACAATCCCCAGCAGACTCCTCTCCAGCCTGGGGATTCCTGGGTGCAAAAACATGCCCTTGGTTTTCTTGTATCTGAGAGGAAGCATTTGGAGGTCAGTTTTTAACAGCTATGTTAAATTGCAAAGCTGAGCTGGGAAGGGACTGGCAGAGGCAGGAATGTGCAAGAAAAACAGACGTGTGTAGGAATCCTGGGGCATTAAAACAAGGCTACAGGTGAATCTATCCTGTTCAAGTGGTGGGAAGCAAAGAGGTGAAGCAGTGGGACAGGGCTTAACCGCTGGTTGTGCAAAACACCATGCGTGCATTTCTACCTGGTGGGGGGTTTAGCGCTGTCGCAGGGTCTGTCCCTTGCAAAGAAGCAGAAAGTCCTGCACGCTCCTCACTTGACTGATCATCAAAGACTTTACAAAAAGTGCCAGCGATTTCCCCCTGGTTCTACCTTGAGCTTCGACGTAGTTGTGCTGCGGTGCACCACATCACACAGCAAAGAGTGAAGAACAACCCTCGGGGCACGATCATCCTGCTGAACGGCAAAAACATTGCAAGACCAGCTGCCGTAGAGGCCAATGTCAACACGGGTGTCTGGCCACCGTCTGAGTTATCCATTTGATGCTATTTTCTAATTCAAACCCTGCCTACGTGGACCGGATCAATAAAAGCCTTTGGGGCCCCCTGGGAATCCCCTCCAGGCCTCTGAAGTGTCAGTTCCTGCCCTGAAGATGACACCCAGCTTGGGAGAGCACAAGCCCGAGGCTGTCTGGCCATTGCTCAGATCCTGCGTGACAGTTACACATGAGGAAGGGTGAGCACATTGCTCTGGGGAGCGAGAAGAAGGGCCAAAGCCTGTAAAACGCTGGAGAACAGGAATCCCTCCTGCCAAGCACGTTAACACAATTTGCCCGGTTTCCTCCCGGCGTAAAGTGAGACACCGGTGATTCACAGCTCACCTCGTAATTACCGGACCCAAAAATAGCAGGGCCAAGAAATGGAAAGTTGCAGGCAGTGGCCGTGTTGCAGTGACTCACGGTCGGGTCACTGTTGGCTAATGCCCCTCCAGCATGGGCTGGCGTGGAGCAGGGACGTGAGTCACCCCCTTTTTCCAGGACGTAGCTGGATGGAGATGGCTCAACAGCGAAGCACAACCTGTGATGGGAGGGGGGTCAGGATTCTGAGATCTCCTTTCACCGCACCTCTGAAACTGCACAGCACAGCTAGATTCAAATGTCTACAGGAGTTACTTAGGTAGCAGAAAAAAAAAAAAAAAAAAAATAGTGGTAGTAGCCCAGAGCACTGCTGTGTTGATCACTCCTTGCGTTTTGCCATGCAGACATACCATATGTTGATTACAAACTGCTAATGAGGGATAGCAGACACCTAAACCCTAGGTGTCTGCAAATGTCACCTTGCTCACAGCAGTCACCGGCTGCCCTCAACATGTCAGCAGGGTATTTTCTCTTTTTTTTTCCTGCCATTATTTCTTTATCAGGAAACAACTGAACACTGAAAAATGGTATTCCTAAACAGTGTTGACAGCACTAGGTACTGGAGTCAGCAGAAACGGAGAAGAGGGAAACAGCTCTGAAGTTTTTTAGATGGGTCAGAAGTCTTTCATCAACATTCTTTTAATCAGAAATATTTCATTACAAGCAGCGTTCTCAAAAGCTGAGCTGCTTGCAAATGCATCCCCCAGAGAGATCGAAACGCACGTTCCTCTCTCAGGAACCCGATGCTGGAAAACCTGGGAATTTAATTTCAAAATCCCAACTGTTCCTGTTGGGCTGGGGGGATTTTGTTTCCTGTTCCCACAGTTGTGTTTACCTTTGTTATTTCTACATTCACCCATGACAGGCAAATCCTGGTGTCATACACAAACACACTTTTAGGATGCACCAAAGCGTTTTTAATTGCTCCTAAATGTTACAGTATGAAGTGACCTATTCTTTTTTCCTTGCTTATCACGTCTCCTCTTGCAATGAGGCAGATCCACACCTGAAGACACTCTGATCTACACTCTTTATTGCACAGCGGCTGGCCTGGTGTCTGTGACTATCGCTGGGGTACCATCAGACGGCTCCTGTTGGGATGCCACATTGAAAATACAACGCATTATAAAGCAAAACAGAGTTGAGAACTAAATGCCTACATATAAGTTACAAGATCAGTACTTTTTCCACCAATACTTGCAACCGCAACATACTTTGGATTTCCAGTTTGCAGGAATGCTTGTACATACTTGCTTTCATTCCAGGTCTGAACAAAAACTAATTTCCAGATGGGATTTACATTGTGTGGGCCGTTTCGAAAAGTTTTGACCAATTCTATTAAGTCCAGAACCAGCTATTATAGTACATTAATTGGATCCGAATTGAAAGTAAACAATTGGATTTAATTAAGTGAGGGACAGAGACATTTAGCTGTAATATCATATACGGTAAGGCAGGAAAGATTTGCCACATCAGTTATATAAACTGTAAACTGAGAAAGGATTCCAGGAAGAAAATAAGGAATCACACTATAACCGCAGCCTTCAAAATAAGAAGTTACCACTAAAGTTTGCGCACGGATTAAAGAAAAAAACAAGACAAATTATTTCACTGGGGGAAAAAAAAAAATCTAGAAACTAAAAACTTAGCAACTAAAAACTCTTTCAAAATAAAATAAAGCAAGCCAAAAAAGTAAAAGTTTTGTTCAGAGTGATGGAAAAAGAAAGGAAAAAGGAGAATAGAAGGAAGAAAACCATTTTTTTTTTATTGGGTTTAAACTTAGAATTTAAGAAGCTTGAGTAGAAATATTTCCCTGGGTCCCCCCCTGGCTCCAGGCAGACTCTTCTCCCCAACACCAGCTGTCCAGGCAGTTACAGCCCTTTGCAGGCTCGTGTTCCAGTTTTATTCACGCTCTGCTTTGCTTTCGATT